TCGTTTTACAATAGGACTTCTATGATCGGGAGAAATATCAACTTTTTCATCTGCTAAAAGCTTCACTGTGTTCACTTGAACAGCAACAGTAAAGCCGTAAACAAACAAAAAAAGGGCTTAAAGAAGCTAAAATGTTCAATAATCTGAGGGAAACGGTGAGAATGTTACATTTTCTGTAGGTTTTCGCAAAGTTTGATCCCACTCACACATACTCCAGCATTATTATACACCCAACAGCCACACCGTGTAAAACCACCCCCCCTCAGTGTGTGCAGGTCTCCCTCCTGTTACCCAAACTGATCCCTCTGATGATGGAGACTCTCAGGGGTGTCCTGTGGTGTCTGGATACAGGATATTGATGTTGGATCCTTTCAGTACTCTTGCTCGTGTTTCGCGAGCAGGCCCTGCAGTGCAGGCTCATTGTGTAATGCTTGGTTTGCAACAGTGTTTATTCCATTAGTGCATGTTGAAAGAGCTTCCAGATAAATGCCAGAACACACTGTAGCACGAGAAGTAACTTTTCTTTATCTTAACCGCAATATTTTAAACCCCCGACAGGCTATGTGTTCAAAAATATTATTTTTAGTTCCAGTTTTAGTGTCTATTTTCTCACTATAGTGCTCAACTTAGAGCCACGTTACTACACTGCATTCTCTTTTTCTGTCATTAAATTACGAATTACAAATTACGAAAACTCATTACTCATCACTAAAAATATGCAAATCCTGTAAAAAACTTTAAAACGGTCTGCACTGCACGAGGCTTACACTAATCCTCTGCTTGCGTGGCAATGCAAAAACTGCACCAAGTACAAGAAATCTAATGGTTTTCATACCGTCGATGGAAAATATGCTCTACCAGCTCACTTTGTCAGAGAAATGTGATTATTTTCTTCTCTGCAGAATGTCGTCCAATAACTCGGATGGATCCAGTTGCATCCATTTCCAAGCTGTCTGCAGAAAACAGATGTTTGTTAAGCAGCAGAAAATAAAGCACAAGGTGACCCAGAGTGGTTTATTGGTCGTACCAACTGGCAGGTCTGCCAAAGCACCATAAGTAACAAATCGAGCAAAAGAAAAACAGCCTTCATATATTTAAAAGGCAGTAAGACGCATTCAGGAACTGTGGTATTAAAGCAGAGTAGACAATCCAAACAAAACATAACACCTCCATCAAAGGGTTTAATACAACTGCCGACAAAAAACACAACTGATACAGAAGTTCTGATGCTCTGCACGCGATGCGCATCAGCGCTTACAGCTGGCGGTAATTCTCAGGGAACACGGATTGAAATGAATCGAGTGCGAGTCGAGCGACTGTCAAACACAGGGTGGGGGAAGGGCAGCAGGA